TCTCTTCTATATATTACTTGTCTACTAACCTTTACATCTCTAAATAGCTAGAGGAGCTCACTTGTGGGCAATCTAGTTAACATGGTAGGGTTGACCACCCGTCACGAAGAGATGAAACGATAAGTTATAATAGCTCCCAAACCATACAAATTAAGAAAATCAAGATAAATCGTATTAAGAAGATCATGTACAATAAGTTCAATTGAAAAAGTATTAGCAATAATCAAGCTCGTAATCATTAATGTATTGAAATCGTGTTTTACCCACTCATGTACTACTTCCAAGACTGCTATCTTGTGTTTTTTTTTTTTTTTTTGGGTACATCATTTGAATATGCATTGATATTGAAAATTCAGACTTATTTTTGGTCGTTAAAATAGCATTTAGAAAACATTTAGAACAATAATGACGGTTTGGCCGAGTGGTCTAAGGCGCCAGATTTAGGCTCTAGTCCGAAAGGGCGTGGGTTCAAATCCTACAGCCGTCATTTAGCCGTTTTTTGTTGTGTTGTATACAATTGGTTGGCACGGCTGCATCACTAGGCTAATTAAGTTCACATTCACAGCAAAGTACAAACCAATTAAGCATGAGGTCGCAGATTTTGACAAATTAGGCTTCCATGGAGCACTGTAATCCACAAATAATTAAGTCTCAATCAAACCAAAATTATCTTTCTCAGCCGGTTCTTGCTTGGCCAAATGTCCATTTATGACTAGTACATCTATCTGGTGGGCTAATTAAGCATTTACTAATGCATATATGTTGATCTTATTGCAAGCTAAGGATCTTGAAGCTCAAAATCATGACTGCATAAGCCAGCCATTTCTGTAAGGTTTCTGGTCTAAAAAATGGCTTGTATATAAACTCATGATGATGATCTTGATATATGTTACCTTTATCATAGTAAAAATGAAAGTGATCAGACAGAATAATCCTCTTACAAACATGCAGGAAATGGAATGAGATCGAGAGCAACTAAACACGTAAGATGAAGCATTAATTGACATATCATCATATCATATCGTTGTGTGATTAAGTAATGACATTTGGAGCATGCAGCACCATTATATTAATATTGCCCATCATCTCTTCCAACCACCTCATTATATATATTGCCGGCCTCCATCATCTTCAATCATAGCGTGATGGATGGCATCCGAGGGCAACCCCAATCAAATTGGTCGAACAGTTGACTTTGTAATTACAAGGCTCAAAATTTGACTCTTCATAGCCTGGTTGGTTTGAGGCAATTACTATGGGTAACCACTAACCAATGTTGGTTTACCTCATTGTGATCCTTTGTCGGTTAGAGTCACAATGCGGGTTTCACCATGAACGCTCATTCGAGTAATGATTATAACGGCTACTAAAGTAAAATTTCTTTTAACTTATATTGAGTTAATTCATGATTTGAAGCATTTGTAAATATTTTATGGATGAGATGTGAAAGCCATGCCCAATCACACAACCCTTATCCTTAGGAACTCCATCCATAAATTCTTCTCTCCAATAGTATGGCAAGGAATGCCAAAAGAAGTCATTTGTACTGTTCCAGCAATTATTATTTTATTTGTGTGCCTTGTGCCAATATTCTTTGTTTGCCAAACGCCCAACCTATACCATAAGTACTCCATCATCTCTATTTATGATATTACAAATTTTATGGGAGAAAAAGACAATACAAATTTTAAATATTTCATTTGTGAGGGGCCCTCATGTACATATATGTCATAAAAATAAGAGTAAAGACAACACATGTCAAGCATGCCATATGATCTAATTCTTATTATAATTTATTTTTTTCTGTGTGATTTGAAAATTGCTACATATGTGTGAAGTTTATTCAATGCACACTCTCAAGCAATAATTATTTACATGATTCGTCTCTCCCATACAAAATAAGATTTATGAGATTACAAATAAATATTTTTATTGTACGTATATGTCATAAAATACAAAAAAAAAAAAAAAAAAAAAAAAAGGACCATTTCATATATAAATCCTTAATTGTGATCATTCCCAATGCAAACCCATTATTTCATAGCCTACATTCCTAAGATGATCAATGCATTTGCGTAATATGTTGATATCCTCTTTCTGATCTATTGCAATTGCAACGGCAAATTATATTATGCACCGCGGTGCATAATCGATTATGCACCGCGCGTTTTTTTTTTTTTAAATGAAAATAAATCGTGTTTGTTTCTGTCGTTTCGCACCCTTTTACAAAAAGTAACTCTGTTATTCAGTGTCATTTTGTACACACTGCAGTTTCAGTTCAACACAACTACAGTTTCATTTCGATATAACTATAGTTTCATTCGATATTTATAGACTCAAATATGTGAAAATGTTATTTAATTTTATTTTATATACACTATAGTTTCATTAAAACACAACTACATGATCATTTTGATATAATTACAGCTTCATTGTACAATATACACTCAAATATGTGAAATGTTATTCAGTTTCATTTTATATACACTGCAGTTTCATTTCACTATAACTACAGTATCATTTTGATATAACTGCAGTGTCGGTTTAGATATACTGTAGTGTCAGTTGGTGTTTAATACACCAAACAAGCGGACTCCGTTAACTCTAACGGCGGGCCGTTTCTTTATTTAAATAAAACGACATCGTTTTAACAGTGTCGATTTAAACACACTGTAGTGTCTGGCGCGCGGTGCATAATCGATTATGCACCGCGGTGCATAATATAACGACCCGATTGCAACCATTAATTAATAATGCATTTTCAAACTTGCACCAAAAAAAAAAAATTTGCATTTTCAAACTTCTCTGCCAATATATTAAAGTTGGATTGACATGCATTTTGATCACTTTATTTTAATTTATCTAAATAATCCGTAACAATAATTTTTGTAAAGTCAATTGAAAAGTAAATTAAACTTAAGAGCAACTCCAATAGGGGTTCATTCATAGCTTTTGAAACACTAAGATCTCCTTTACTAAGCTTTTGACAAATGAAAGTGGTAGATTTTGGAAATTTCTTTCTCTTGCAAAAATAAATAAATAAATAAATAAATAAAAATTTGCCAGCTTCATCCCCTCGTGTGGGTCTCACAAAGAAAAGAAGAAAGACGCAAGTTGTGCGTGGGCTGCACCTTTGCGCCCATCGGCCGTATTTAGAGCCTGTAATTTTTATTTTTTATTTTTTAAATTTTGCTGACATTTTTTTTAACCTCATTTTCTCATTTTCTCTTTCATAATCACACCTACAAAAACTCCTCAAAAACCACACCCAAAACCTCCACTATTGAGGATGCCTTAACTGCAATGATACAATTTATTTCGAGAATAACATTATGAAAATCTGTTGTTTGGTCCAACAATCATTATTATGTGGACCACGGTCCAAAAATACATAAAATACTTTATTTTAACTTATAAAATATAATATTTTAACACATAAAGTACGTTATTCTAACTCATAAAAATATATTATCTTATCCCATAAATTTCATTATTTTAACACATAAAGTATTGTACATTATTCTAATACATAAAGGACATGACATTATTCTAACTCATAAAATAAATTATCTTACCTCATAATGTTCATTATTCTAACACGCACGTGGAACAAATATTTTATTTTTCCTTTTTAACATCAAAATGACGTTTGTGCTACGGTCCACACAATAATTTACCTTGTTCCAAGAACTCCTTTATAAACTAACAAATCCACCAAATTAGGATTAGAGAGATTTAGAGTGGTCACTAAACCAGTAGACTTGGTGGGCTCAACTACCTTACTTTTATATATATATATATATATATATATATATATATATATATATATATATATATAATTGATAGTTAGACCTAATAATTTAATTTAGCTTAACTATATTTGCTTATTCTCTAATCTCAATAATACCAACATGCCCCTAAGCATTGGTATAGTAGATTGAAAACTTCACTTAATATTTATTCTATCCAACAAAATGTGAAATAGTCTTAAGTAACGTATATATATATATATATATATATATATATATATATATATATATATATAGTCGTATATATTACTAAGGCTCTGTTTGACAAAGCTTATTTAGGAGCTTATAGCTTATTTTAAGCTACTAATAAGCTATAAGCTCTGTTTGGTAATGTTCCTAAAATAAGTTTCTAACTTAAAATAAGAGCTTATTTTTCAAAATAAGCTCATAGCTTCCTAACTTTTTTTCCATCTTTATCCTTATTATTTTAAAGAAATGACATAATTTTACCCTTCCCAATTAAAACACTTTTCTCTTCTCTTTTATCCGCAACTTTCACCTCAAATATTATTATTATTATTTTTGAAGAGATTGTTGTTGTTGTTATTATTATTATTATTATTATTATTATTATTATTATTATGAGATTTGCAACAATATTGCTACTTCATTATGAGATGCTAAATCATGATTATTCTAATAGTTTTATATCAAAATGTTAAATTTTAATATGTAAACAAATTAATTTAAATTTTATGAAAATGTCATTTTTAGTCTTTTTACATTTATCAGCTTATCAAAAAGCTAATTTACCAAACACTTTCAATCATAACAGCTAGTTTAACAGCTCTTCAGTTTTCAGCTCCGAGCTTATAGCTTTTCAACTTTCAGCTCCTAGCTTATAGCTTTTCAGTTAGATTTACGAAACAGAGTCTAACTACTGCTAGCTATTAACTTAAGTATGTGATGAGTGTGTACAATTATCTATCAAGACCGTATCGTATTAATATTAAAAATTAGGTAAGGTTACTGGATAACACCTCACATACTATGATGCAATGACAATATATATATAACATGTACTAAAAAAAGTATTAAATGTTACGTTATTTAAACCGTCTTAATACATACTCAACAAACTTTGACTACTCTGGGAGAACTCAAAATCACTCGTTAGACCATTCCATTCAACTTGTAAATATTTGTTTGGTTAGGTTAAACTATTACAGTATATATATATATATGCACCCCCACCTATGAAATGCCAATTCCTCTCTTAGTTCATTCATCATGGGCTCTCCTACAAAATCCTCAACTCTTAAGCTCATTGCTCCTGCGTCCATTCCTCTTCTCGTAGCAATCATCCTCTTCTCTTCTTATGGAACCCCAAAACATTCATCGTCCGACAGAGGATTTGGTGATGACAAACAAGTGATCCCAATCGTCGGCGCGGTCGGGCCGGAGAGCTTCGCGTTCGACCCCAACGGCGGCGGCCCTTATACTGGCGTGTCCGACGGCCGGATTATCAAGTGGCAGCGCAACGAAAGCCGGTGGGTTGATTTCGCCGTTACGTCGCCGGAGAGGTGAGGATTTACCTTATCGGAGTTTATTATTATTTTAATTATTATATTGTTCTTGAATCATTGAATGTCACGTTACATGACTGTTGTGTTCATAGAATATACTGTCACGTAAAGACCATTAAAGACAGTCCCAGAAGAAACAATAATGCAATTTTCGTGAGTAACCGACAAAGAATTTTTAGTATGCATTTCTGCGAATTTACCAGAAACATCATGTGTTCTGTGTTCATAAATACGAAGTTGTCGAGGTGGGGTTGCTATTGGGGGAAAGTTGGGTAAATGGAAGTACAACCTGGTATTCGGGAAAAGTAATAGGGCGTGTTTGCTGTTTTTGTTTTGGAGGGTTTATTAAGTTATACTCCGTAGTTATCTAATTGTAATTTGTACAATTATAGTAGGGGACTATAAGCATTCAAAAATTTTGTTGGTAAGTTACTAAAATAGGTAAGTTAATTATTTAATCGGTTATTTTATTTTATTATTTTATTGTACCATTAAAAAGCAGTTGGAATAATGGATTTAATCACCCTTCTAAATGCACCTGGCCTAGTGATGCCACTATGGCACTGTTGCTTAATCTTAAATAATTACAAAGAGCATAGAACTAAGAGCATCTCCAATAATTGTAAGTTTTTGCATGTGTGACTAGAGAGAAAAAAGATGAGAGTGAATGGAAAAAAAAAAAAAAAAAAAAAGAAAACAAAACAAAATCTGAAAAAAAAAAAAAATCTTTAGATTAACAGCCCCGGTTGGGCACTGTGTTGCGCCTCACACACCACAAATGGCGTTGTTGTTGCACTATGGTGGGGCCCACTTCACTGCCAAAAACCAAGTGCTTGCAATGTGCACTCAAATCTTCTCTCTTCTTACCCTCTATGCTCCACGTAAGCTTGTCTTCCTCAAAAACCACAATTGGGAATGCCCTAATGCTTATTTAACTTATAAAAAAAAAAAAAAAGGAACATAGAATTAATATCATCACTGTATTTAAATGACAATGAAGTAGAGCTATCAAAACGGGCCGACGGGGCCGAGCCTGGCAAAGCCCGTAGATTAGACGATTGTGGGCTAAAAAGCCCGCTATAATACAGGCTTTGATTTTTAGAGCCCACTTTGTCCTTTTGGCGGAAAGGAACGGACTAGCCCGGCGAATTAAGCCCATTTTAATGACTCTACAATGAAGCCCTTTATTGGATCAATGGGAGGGACAACCTAGCAGTGTAGAGAAGGCACCCCTCTCATATGAGGAATACTCAAAAATCTATTAAGTTCTATTGGTGGCTAACAAGAAAATGCATAATATGATTTTGCTCTCTATAGATCAGATATACTATTTAAATGTGAATGGAAGTCTTTAATATTAGTTTTTTTTTTTTTTTTTTTGGTATGGGTTTCTACCTTTTGATATTAGTTAATCACATTATAAAACAGTAATATTTATTATCTTTACAAAGACTTGTAATTAGAAGTGAGTAACACTAACATCAATCCAAATTATAAAATAGAAGTGATGGCCGTCCAAACCATTTTGTTCAAATGATCCCTTACCAATTGGGGTAGTGGGGCAATGACTGCCGAATGCACCTTAAGTTTAAACCCAAATCTAGTATAGTACTAAAAACAAAACTTAGTATCTAAATGCAAATGAAGCTCATTATATTATGAAATATTAATCAGTTTATGTTTACAGAAATGGGTGTGGAGGTGCAGGAGATGATAGTGCGAGGGAGCACGTATGTGGGCGGCCATTGGGCCTCCATTTTGACCAAAAGAATGGACATCTTATGGTTGCAGATGCCTATTTTGGCCTTCTTACCGTGACACCAAATGGTGGCATTGCAACTCCGGTTGCTAAACAGGCCGAAGGAGTCTCCTTTGGATTCACCAACTCTTTGGACATTGATCAGGCAACTGGAGTCGTCTTTTTCACCGATAGCAGCACCAAATACCAAAGAAGGTAAGTCATTTATGGGACAAATTCAATCCAGTTGATTTGATAGTCACAATGTTATAAGTTGGACGCTTAATGACTTTATTGGTTTGAGTCAATTAACTATGAACAATCTTGGTTGATAGACATACTAGTTTACTTCCTGGTGGTCATTTGCCGGTTAAAGTCAGTTAAAGGACAATCTAGACTAATCCTAGTTTACTACCTACTGATGACCATTTCCCGGTTAAGATGACAAAACCAACACTCTCTCGAATTGTTTTTTTGTAAATTGTAATCACCCAAAAAATGAAGTCATTGATTATTGTGGATATTCTATTTTCAGGAATTATATTTCTGCGATAGTTAGCGGTGACGAAACGGGGAGGCTAATGAAATACGATCCAGAAAGCAAGCAAATCTCCGTCATTCTCCGAAACCTCAAGTTCCCCAACGGCGTGTCACTAAGCAAAGACGGCGACTTTCTCCTCGTCGCAGAAACCACGACATGCAGGATACTGAAACTGTGGCTCAAAGCTCCAAAAACAGGGGAAGTAGAAACCATAGCCGAACTCCCAGGATTCCCAGACAACATTAAAAGGAACGACAGAGGCGAGTTCTGGGTGGGAGTTCATTCCAGGAGGAGGACATTCATGAAATGGGCATTGTCAAAATTTTGGGTTGGGAATGCTTTGGTCAAACTTCCGTTTGATCTTACCAAGGCTTATTCGTATCTGGGCAGTGTTGTTGGTGGATATGGGTTTGGAGTGAGGATGAATGGAAATGGAGATGTTTTGGAGGTTTTGGAAGGTAGTGTTAATGGGAGAAGATGGAAGTATGTGAGTGAGATTGAGGAAGAAGATGATGGGAATTTGTGGATAGGATCTGTGAAAATGCCATTTGCAGTTAAAGAAAAGATATCAACATAGGTGTGACATTATTATTACTACGGAGTATTTATTAATCTTGGTTGCTCTATACATTATTCCCAAAATGTTGAATTTCCCAATCCAAGGACTTCCAACTCCCGGTCCGACAAAATAACGGCGAAGATGTAAATCATGATAACTAAGCTGAACACAGATACTAAATATTTATTTACTGCATAAACTTCATCCCTATGACCAACTGAGTTATCAATGGGGCCGTGTTGCTTTATACATATTTGCACTAGTAGTACGCCCTGAGATGGTGGATTGCCAATTGCCAAATGATTATTTATTTGAGAAAATTTTAGTTTTGATCATATGACTATATGGTTCTTGTTAATTTCAACTCTTGACTTTTAAAAGTATCAATTTAGTATCTTAACTATGCAATTTTTGTCAATTTTGATCACTTCGACCAAATTTCGCCGAATAATTTTAATTGGTCAAATAATGAGAGTATTTTAGTCATTTTACTTTCATTCTTTCTTCTCCAATGAGTCCTTTTCTTTTCTACATGTCCGGCGATCGCCTTTTCTCCATTTCCAACAACATCCTCTGCTCATTTCCATGAAAGTACCCAACAATACTCAAACCCTTATCACCATAGTACTCTATCTAAAAAAAAAAAAAAAAAAAAAAAAAAACTAAATTTTGATTAAGAGCTGACCACTGAACCCTAAACCTAAAATATCATTTTTTTAAATGAAAATTGGGAATGAAGGGTATATTCGAATGACCATGATGAGGGAGATCTCAAAAGGAGGGAGGACTCCAAGTTGAGAGTGGAAGATAGGGACTAAATCAGTGACTTCGACGGTGCTGCCAGTGGGTGAGGGACGACCGAGGAGAACGCTGTTGATGACAGAAGATTTGTGCTTGAGGGCATGGAGGACGAGCTTGATGTAGGCGTTTTGGTGCTGTTTTTGCTCTGGTATAGTGCAGCCGCAACTTCCTCCATTTTCATCCTCGCAACCTCGCCGCCGGCGGCGTAAAGCAGATCCCAATCAGCTTCCTCCATCATTTTCATTGCATTCGTCGGAAACGGGAGAGAAAGGAATGGACTTGGGAAGAATAAAAGAGACGTGAAATGACCAAAATACCCTTATTATTTTAATTATTAAATTTTTCTAGCAAAATTTGACCGGTAATTTGGCCGGAGTGATCAAAATTGACAAAAATTGCATAGTTAAGGTACTAAATTGACACTTCAAAAGTCAGATACTGAAATTAACAAGACCTCTATAATCATATGACCAAAATTGAAATTTTCTCTTATTTATTTTCACATGTGAAAGCTTAAACAAATAAGATCAAAATGATGATAAATTTTTTATTTTTTTTTGGCAAAATAACTTTATTATTGTCCTTTTGGTCTTTAAAAAAAAAAAACTTAATAGTACAATATTTTTTTTCCCAAAAGTAAAATTATTGCCATTTTGATTTACAGGTATAGTAACAAAATATGTATACATATTTAATTATATTTGTTTTGGTCAGGCCATGAGATGTCTTGAGCAGGCCCTAACGGTAAGAGGCACCTTTAAACCCGTAGCATGTTCAGACTAATCCCCATTCGCACCCGTCTGGTCAAATTAAGGGGCAAAATGCTGGTCAAGGATTTTTCTATACAAGAGGGAGTTTGAACATCCAACTTCTTAAGGGATGAAACTATGAAAGTGCAGGATCATTCACGCCAACCATGCTGATTACATGTTTAGTTATATAATGCATTATTAATGTATATTTATTTGTGCAAGTAAAAAACAGAATAAATCTTAAAGAACACATATTAGCCCGAAAAAAGTGTGTATAACAAGCTAATTTAGAAAATGCAAAATCAACTTTTTATGTTTTAAAATTTTGAAGTCATGTGAGATTGTAAGATGAAATATGACATTTCTTGATGGCAAAAGTTTATTTTTGAGAGTGAAATTTGTTTGTTTGTTTTTTTTTTTTTTTAAAATAAAAATAAAAAAATAAATGTATACTTTCAAATATTAGAATTATCTATAATTTCATATTTAATTTATTAATTAAATTTATAATAAAATAATTTTATTTGTGCATAGTAATTTACTAGTTAGTTAAAATATTAAATGATGGGACAAAAATGGAATAAGCAGAAAAGTGTGAGTGGTGTGATTTGAAACAGGCGGGAAAATAAGGACGCTGGACGCCCTAAATTGATACAATCAAATCCTAACCAAAAAAGGGAAATTTGCCCCTAAAGGCTAAAGCTTCATTCTTTCGACTTTCAGTAACCTCACCTACTCCGACCAGCGAGTGAAATGCTGAAAGCCTGAAACTTCAGCCAAAAAGAGCTCCGAACAGTGGGTGAAATACTGAAACCTCAGCCAAAGAGCATATTCGAGTATCGGTTGAATTTTTGTTCATTTGTAGATTCAACGCATTGGTGCCTGGTTGAAACAAACTGGTTACTTTTCTTCCACAGGTTAGCTTTTTATTTATTTATTTATTTTTTAATTTTTAAGTCCTCCATTTGATTTAACCTTGCTGAGGACTTCATAAATTTTCAGCATTGTATCAATTTGCTATAACTTTTTGCAAAATTTCAAAATATTAGGGCTTGGTTGAGTGTGAACACTGCAGAGTGAAGTTGGAGAAAACATGGAGAGAATTCATGTATCAGTTAGGGCTAGACCGCTCTCTCCGGAAGAAGCTAAGACCAGTCCTTGGCGTATCTCCGACAACTCCATTTTCTTTTCCAATCCGCCATCAGCAAAATTTGATTTTGGTACTGATTTCTTTCCTTAAACTTGACTTTATATTCCGCAGCATCATAAAGAAAACAATTTTCAAATGCTAAAACAATAAATTTAGAAGCTTGATTAGTTTTTGTTATTCAGATAAGATATTTGGGGAGGAATGCAAGACAGTGGATGTCTACAATGCTCGCACTAAGGACATTGTTTCAGCTGCTGTCCAAGGATTTAATGGTACTCTAACTTCTATTTACTTATATTTTTGCAGTATTTGAGTCATTTATAATGCATATATTATTTTTAATAACCTTATTATCTTAAATTTCTTCTCAAATTCAGGTATCAAAATTTGGCTATTTGTTCTTGCACCAACTTAGATCGCCTTATGAATTATGATTTGCTTTTATTGGCTTTAGAGTGGTGCTTAGATGGAATGACAATGACATAAGCCATTAGTAGTACACACTTAAAATATTTTAGTCACTCTATTCCCATTTTATGTGATTTGAATTAATTGCCCCACATTTCTTTTACAAGTCTCCTCGTTATTATTTTAGTATCTATTTAGTAATCTACTTACATACCTATATGTTGTTTTGTATAGGAACTGTTTTTGCATATGGACAAACAAGCAGTGGAAAGACACATACTATGCGAGGTTCAAGTTCTGAACGAGGAGTCATCCCTCTAGCCGTGCATGATCTTTTTAATTTCATACAAGAGGTAATTGCAATTGTCTATTTAAAATCTTATTTTTAGTTGTCATCACAGAACTACATTTTACCTAAATTAAATCTTAAGGAAACCTCTAATATAAAAGAAAGGGTAGTGGGCTTCTTTCAAGTATATAATTCAGCACTCATGGGGTTTTAGTGGTTTGATTAGCATTATTTTACTAATTCCTTTGTCTTACATTAGCAACTGATAGCTATCAGTTCATTGCCATTAGTGCTCAATCATTTTTTATGTGTAGGATGTTTCCAAATTTCACTATGCTCATCTCTATAAATTTCATGTGGATTGAGAGTTTAATGGAGATAAAATCCACTTTCAAATGTAAATATTCATAAAAGAGTCAGCATCTACATTAATGAGTTTAATAGATTTGAATTTTAAATTCATTCTTTTTCTTTTAGGAAATGTATCATCAATTTAAATTTATCCTTGTATCTTTAGGCAGTGGATCGAGAATTTCTTTTACGGATGTCCTATATGGAAATCTATAATGAGGAAATAAATGATTTGTTGGCCCCTGAGCATTGGAGATTACAGATCCATGAAAGTATTGAGGTAGTTGGTTTACCTCCTTTTTCATCTACTCATATAAAAACTTCATTCCTTCCATAATTTAATCCAATTTTCTCCCTCTCCGTCTTCATCCCATCCCACATGAAGCGTGGAATATTCGTTGCTGGTTTGAGGGAAGAGATTGTTGCTTCCCCAGAACAAGTACTTGAGCTTATGGAGTTTGGAGAATGTGAGTTCTCGTTGATAGTTTGACTTTTGTTTCTTGTCAACTCTCTCAATCTTTCTTGCCTCACATCTAAGTTGTTACTTATTTGAAGTTGATTTTTTTTATTTATATCAGTTTCCTATTTGATAAAATGATAAATATAAATAGTTTCATATGACCTATCCATAAAATGTTTTCAATTGAAAGTATATTAAATTATTTATTTATTTATATAAAATCCTTTTTGAATAACACACTTTCTAATAAGTCTGTCACTCAAAATTTGCTTCTGATATATTTGACCTCACCAAGATTCATTCCTCTTATATTTGACCCCAGTACCCCACCAATAAGATTGAGGAAGATTTCACCATCTTCATGTAAAGTGCTTCTGGAAAAGTTTAACCATTTTAGTTCTCTTGTTTCTATATATTTTGCAGTTCATCGTCATACTGGAGAAACAAATATGAACTTGCATAGCAGTAGGTCTCATACAATTTTTCGTATGGTAAGTAATTGTTCTTTTGAATGGCATTTTATGATTTAAAAAGTAAGTTCAAATGCTTAACACATCTGGTCATATAGATAATTGAGAGCAGGGAGAAGGCTGAACATACACCAGCAGATAATTCATGTGATGCAGTTCGTGTATCTGCTCTGGTATGTAGTTGGGATGTGTTATATTTTACTATCTAATTACTGTTATCCCTTTATTTTACTTTCTCTTCTGCGGAGTACAATACATTTGGTATTAACCCTTTGTGTCTTCTTCTTTTAGAATTTAGTGGATCTTGCTGGTTCCGAACGAGCCGCTAAGACTGGAGCTGAAGGAGTTCGTTTGAAAGAAGGCTCTCATATCAACAAGAGCCTGATGACTTTAGGAACTGTTATAAAAAAGCTAAGTGAAGGTGCTGAGAGCCAAGGGTAAGTTTGAGAATTGCTGGACACATGACTTGGGGAGAGTTTCGGAGTTTCCCTTGTGTAATGCATCACTCTGATCCTTGCAGTGGCCATGTTCCTTATCGAGACAGCAAGCTCACACGTATTTTGCAGCCAGCATTGGGTGGAAATGCAAATACTGCAATTATATGCAACATTACTCTTGCTCAGGTAACACTTAAAGAGTTAGTAAATTATGATTTTACAGACAATTCTCTTGCATACTCCAATAAAATATATTGCATTTTTGATATAGTTTAGGTAGGATGAGACTGACTGAAGCAACAGAAGTACTGAATAAAAAAAGTGCGGTCCATTTCATCTGCATTGAGTCACTCTTTAGTATTGTTTTGTCTATGACAATCCCTACCAGATAGTATGAGTTCCTAAACTTGATAGACCTGTTCAGGCTACATAATAGAAATGAGCAAATAAAGGAATGTGACTATTGTGCAGAACCATAATTGATTGGACTAATCTCACTTTGTTACTGTGGATCCATTTTAATTTGTTTTGTCTACAGAAAGATAGTCAAGACTTATTTTTGTTTAAAAATATAAAAATAGGAGGATAGAGACAGAAATTCTAGCAAATATTTCTATCCATTGACATTGTTCTTTCATGCTTGATTGGTCTATTATCTGGACCACCATTTTATAAGGAAGCTTTTGTTTGGTGCTTCTTTCTTTTTCTTATTTTACATAGCTGTGTAGTTATAATTGTCAAATGATTTTTCATTTTATCTCTGACTTATTACAGGTTCATGCTGATGAGACTAAGAGTAGTCTTCAATTTGCAAGCAGGGCATTGCGTGTTACAAACAGTGTTCATGTTAATGAGGTTATGCTCTTGAGAAACATTCTACACATGATTATACTTCTTTATTAGCTTTTGGCTTTCTTGCAAATTCAGAGTGGACTTGTTGCTTGAGCCCTGCATTTGCTGATTTCTAGCCTTGTTAAATTTTTTGTTCTTTGATTTCTATTGTAGTTGTACCACTTTCTGCTCCCTTTGCCTTTTAGCTTTGTAAAGTGTTTCTTTTCTGTGATTCTGATTTCTGAATCTACTTCATGTTTTAATTATAGATATTGACTGATGCTGCTTTACTCAAGCGTCAAAAGAAAGAGATCGAGGAGCTTCGAGCTAAGTTGCAGGTTGTGCTAAGTATTCATGCTCATGATTTCATTTTCAGATACTTGCTTTCAACTGCTGACTAGCTTATATACTCTATTATAGGCTTCACCTTCCGAACATCTTGAAGAAGAAATACTCAATTTGCGGAACACTTTGTTGAAGGTTCACTTAACTTATTTTCTAGTGTTTTGAGCGATTGCCATAACCTTAAACTTACAGCTTTCTCTCCGTAGAGTGAATTGGAGAGGGAACGGATTGCATTAGAATTGGAAGGAGAAAAGAAAGCTCAAGCAGAAAGGGACAAGAGGCTGCAAGAACAAGCGAAAAAGATTGAAAACTTAAGTACAATGGTCTTGTGCTCTAATAGGGATGAGAGCCGTGATGTCTATAAGAAGGTTTGTTGGTCTTTCCAAGTCTTCCCAATATAGTTTTGCTGATTATGTAGAGAATTCAGGAATAATTTGTGCACCATGATGATATCTAAATGGTCTTCTGTTCCTGGAGTTTTTTTTTTTTTTTTTTCATTGATTGGTAATGATAAACAACTGGCCCCCCTTGTTAGTCTTTAAAATATTGTTGTTCATATCTTACTACAGTATTGCTATGAGTGAACAGTTCCTGCATCTGAATACTCTTCTGGCACATCTATCTTTTCAACGTGACGAATTAGATCATAGATTGAATAATCTAGGTGATACCTTTAATAGTAGTTAGTGCTGGATTTTATGACTCCATAAGCATTTTGATCATTTTGATTAAGTTAGCTTCATTTGTGTCTCAATTTTTGTGATTTAAAACTAGGAAAAATTTATTAGTGACTTTAGGCCATGAAATTGGTTTATTCCATATGATTTTTTCCCTCTCAGTTGCCATCTTAATTAGCTTTTAGTTATGTAAATTTCCTAGTGCCTTCACTATTTTCTTTTTAAATTTCATTTTATTATTGATCTTTTGCCATAAACTTTATTAGATGCCTGCAGCTTTCTTTTTATATAATTGGATTTGATGTTTTACCAATTGTAGGATAAAAGGCGTGATACATGGTGTCCAGGTAACCTTTCACGGATGAATTCGAAGGAGGTATGATTTTGTGTATTGTTTTGTATCATTATAGTGTTATGATGCATTTTTTGTCAGATCAGATGTAGCTGTACAGTAGCAGGCACTGGTGAATGTGAGCTCCGGCTTGAGATTTAAATCTTTGATATTTTTAATTTGGTCTTCACCAATCAAGTATCAAATGGCCGCACTTAGAAAAATAATGCAACTACTAGTGCAACTTTGAGTATGATAAATTATCTCCATCTGACTTCCCTTAATTGCTGCATAAATTGAATTATTGTGACCATCACATAATAAAATAACCTGCAATCATAATCTCTGGTATTTCATCCCTATGTTTAACTGATAGAGGGAACCCTATTTCAAATTTCCTTGTATTCAGAATTCATGTATTTACAATCTCTTGTATTCATTCCTCTATCAATTAATATATGAATCTTATTTCAATTTTCCTTATATTCAGAATTCCTGTATTCATAAGCTCTTTCTCCATGAATATTTTGAGAAATTTTAGACTTCTCTTCTTTTTATTTATTTATTTATTTACCTGAACTTAAATTGATACTATTCTTTGACTCTTCAGTTGTGTTCGACGGTTAAACGAGATCTTTCTGCAGTCAGACCCATTAGAGCAGGACGTGACCCGGAACCTCTTCTTCCTTTTGAAGAACTATTAGTTCCTGATTCTGTGGATAACTCTTCCAATCAAGAAGGGGATTTTATGAATATGATATCAGAAGACTGTTGTGTTCCTGACCAACAAGCTTTGGTGCATGTTACTAACAGGAGAAAGGGGGCTCCTAGGAAGAAAAGCTTACAAACAGTTAATCTTATGCTCTTTTATCATTTACATTGTTTTTTTTTTTGTTTTTTTTTTTTTTAATTTTATTTATAACAAAATATATTTTATTAATCAAAGGAATTACAGTGTGTTCACTTTGTGATTATGTACATTAACATCATTCTTTTTCCCCATGGCAGGAGGACAGAAGATCACTTGATATGCAATCAGAATATGAGGAATTGCTTTTAGAATTTGAAGCACATGTAATACATTTATTTGGTTTTTATTCTATAATAGTATTGAAAAACTTTCATTCTTTTTAGTACACTCAAGGAGAATGGGGGTTGAACTTGAGGCGAACTCTTACATAGAGTCTCAAGACTATTCTCTATTAATATTAATCCTGTGAAGGGCTTCCTTTAATTGAATTACATGTTTGTCTTCACCTTTTGCTAGAAAACTGTGAGTGAGATACAAATTGACTATTTAACAAGGAAGATTGCTGGAGTTGAGGCTGATCTGATCGAAAAATGTAATGATAGTTCCATGCAATATAACAATGATACGATTCACTTGATGGGGAACAAATATTTAAGGGAGCCAGAAGCTTTACTTGTTATTAAGCAGCTCCATGAAAAGGTGTTCCTCAATCTTTATTTCCTATCTTATCTTTATAATTGTTTCAACCTTTTGCCTCTTTTTCATAAATTAGCATCTAAATGCTGCTAACTTGTTTTGTACTAATATATTTTTTGCATTATACTAAATCATAGTTGGTCTTATTCAGATCAGAGTGTTAGAGATGGAGAGATCCTCAAACCAAGAAAGTTTGGACTGTGTAGTTGAGTTAGCAACTGAACAAACCATATCTGCAAGGGAGAAGTATGAAGAGGTAACCAGGAATAAAATTTTTGTGCTTCAAATTTCGATGTATTCGAATAGGCTAGTTAGTCTAGAGAAACAGCTGAGCAAAATGTTGACATTTGTGATCGTCACTGTGTGTGTGTGTGTTTTTCTTTTTAAATTTTTTTTTTACGGAGTATTAATAAATTAATTACATAGGTTCAATACTTAGTTCTTCCAAATTCCAATAATAGAAGTTTGTTCACCATAAATACATTTTCCTCTTTAAGGAACTGCTTGTTTAATATGTAATTTGGATTTGTTTGGTCTGGTTCCTTTTAAGTTCATTTAAAAATACTTGGCTTATTGACCTACCTGGCTACCTCCCCTAATTGGTAGATGTATAATATTCAAGAATTAAATTGCATTACATGATTACATCAAATATTTTAAAAAGTTTACAGTTTACTCATGTTTCTTACAAACAGTGAACATATTAACTTTTCACTTTGAGAGAATCTCAAGAGAATTGTAATGAACTATGGAAGTCATATGAACACTGTTATAGTATGAATCTGATTGACTATTTGGCTCTCAGATGCTATAAAAACAATGGAATTGAATTTCCTTTTTTTTTTTTTGGTTTGGGAATCTGCATTTCTATCTTTATTAATTTGTTGTGTTTACACTTTGTGGTCTTTTTCACTGGAAATCTTTGATCATTGATGATTGCAGATCTAATATGTATCATTGTATCATGCCACTAATATGAAAAAAAAAGAATAATTAATAATAACTTTTCATATTTTTTTCTCATCTTGCTACTGCTTAGAATGGAGGACAAATAAGGTCATAGGGAACTTGGGAAGAAATAGCAGTCAAAAGCACTAACAATAGGGATTGAGAGTGTGTAGTTTATAATTTTAAAAGTATTATGCTAGATTATTTTATTATTATTTATATTAGGTTTATCAAGAGCTTTTGGGTGTCAAAGAGGAGGCTAAGGAGGCCAAGGAGCAACTTGCTTCAGTGCAAATTGCAGAAGTAAGTTCAATATTTTATTCAAACTTCCATTCTTGAACTCTCATGTCTCATTCTAAGATTCTGTGTTAATTTTGCCACGATAACCTTCCCCCCATGGGAACTACCTTCAGGAGAAAAACTTTATGAGTCAAGTTCTGGCAGAAGTTCAAGGAATGATGATCGAAGTAGAAAATTCAAGAAACCTTACTGATTCTGTCATTCCAGTTATGGATGATCTCTTACAATCATACTCTGTCATATCCAATTCAGTTGCTGTGAGTATTATCCCTTATGAGGATTGAATAAAATATGTGCATGTGTTGCTTTAGTTGAAATGCGATTAACATGTTACTTGGGCAATCTTCACTTCGATTGTAACTGATATATATATATATATATATATATATATATATATATATATATATATATATATGACCCCGCGTGTTTGGTTAACCATTATTTTGGTGTTCCACCTTCAGGAATTAAAGTCTTTCCTGCCTGAGAGTTCAATGCAAATAAAATCAATAATTAGCAACCAAGAGAAAATATGTTCTTGTTTGAGTGTGAAAATCAACGAACTTGAGGATGAGAAGGTATGTTTTCGTTCTTGTTGATTATTTTCTGTATTTCTCTACCTTAACAATAAAGAAATATCTGACATTTTCATTAATCAAATGGCTTCTAAGTGTTTTTTTTATGCACCAACTTAAATGTAGATTCTACTGCACAACCAAAATTTGGATCTTCAAGTTCAGATCGAACAACTACAAAAAGTTGTTCATAGTTCTGAAAATGCATTAGTTGTAAGTTATGTCACTTTCATATTTAATCTTTTTCCCCCTCTATGGTGTCTATGTTCTCTTACTGATATAGGCAAGTAATTTTCAGGAATACTCAGAAAAATATGAAGCTGAGAAGTCTGAACTCCTTTCTCAGATTCGTAGTCTTCAAAAGGAAATTTCAAGCTTAACTTCTTCATCCTTAGCTAGGGAAAAGGAATCACTTAGAAAAGATTTGGAGAAAACAAAAGCAAAGTTAAAAGATACAGAATCCAAGCTTAAAAATGCCATCCAAGAGAAAACGAAGCTTGAGGTTCGATGCTGGATTCTTGAAATCTGATTTTGTTTTTGTTTTATTTATTCTGTCATATTTCTTTCCTAACCTTTTTGGTATCATTAGGGAGAAAAAGCTTGTGCTGAGAGGGAAATCAAAATCTTGCATGGCCAGAAAGCTATTCTTGAACGTGACATAAACAAACATGACTCTATTGTTGGGAGAAGGCGAGATTCAGTTGTTGATAGGAGCTCTAGTGCATTTGAGGCAAAAAGAGCCAAGGGAGCAGCTTTCTTGGCGGAACAGACCATGCAGGTAACGATGACTTAGCTTGAACATAACTGTCAAGGATTTTTGTAAATATTTTCAGTGTTAATTATCTTTGTATAGGGACTAGGATTAGTGAGCTATATCTGAAAATATTGTTCATCGTGCACATTCTATAATGAGTCCAAACTGCAGGCTTTTTACTGTTTTCTTATAGTTTTGATGCCTTTTTATTTTCCTAAGAATGTGCTGTTGTATGTTTGTAGTGCACATACTAATATATATTTCAGCTTGATTTTATTGATGAAGATTCTCAATCTATTTTTAACTTTATTTTTGTAGGAGGAATACAAGAAACTTGAAGTCCTTGCATTTGAGATGGAGACAACTATTGCTTCTCTGGAAGAGCAACTAACAATGGCAAATGAGGAAAAAGAAGAGGCTGAGTCTAGAGCTGGCAGTTTGGCGTCAAATGCAGAACTAAGTGATGAACTGAATGTGTCAAATGCAGAACTAAGTGTTTTGAAGGAAAAGGTTTTGGATCTTGTAAGTTCTTTGTTCTGATACAACTCATTTTGTGCATCCTTAAATATGAATGGATCTATCTTTTCGACACGATAAACTCTCTTGGTTTCTTGTCAATGAACTTTTTCTATTTATGACAGACATCTAGTTTGGAAGAATCTAAGTCTCTCCATCAAGGATTGGAAAGCACTATAAACACATTGTCTGAAGAAAAGGAGGACCTGGCAATAGTACGAGATTTCTTATGACATAAACAAGTGTATTTGGGAGTCCGTTACTGAATTAGTGTGATTTATGGATGGTTTCATTTTCCTGCAGCAACTTGTTGATGCCCTTCTAGCTATAGAGGAGGAAAAGGCTATATGGTTGGCCAAGGAAAGAGCTTCAGTTGAAGCCATTGAAGAAAAAACAAACGTATATAATGCTGAGATTGCCTCTTTATCCGAGGCATTGTCTGAGGTAACCTTCAAGCTTATGGAGAAATACTGGCTGAATGGTGTTCTATAGTAAAATGCTTTTCCAAATTGCTTCTGGTTTTCAAGTCTCAAGACATCTCCAGTTTTCACTAAATTTTAAGTGCCTGCATTAAAGAATATTGTGCTATATATCCAAATTGTTATCCTGATAATCACGTTACATACAGGTGAGAAATGAACTTGAAAATTACAGAGAAGAGTGCAAGCTCCTCAAAGAAAGTTTGACAAATTCAGAGAGATGCACCGCACTTGAAAAAGATTGCAGGTTGTCTTATCTTACGCTTTCTAGTCTTGTGCAATCTTCTAGGTGTGCTCATGAAATCTTTCCTTGTTTTTCACGAAGTATAAATAGCCATTCTGATTTTCCCCTTGCTAGCATTATTAAAGCTTGATTAAGTGTAGGTGCCCTGGGCATGAATGATCCTGCTTGATATAAATACCTTTGATGCCTTTTTACAGTAAAGGGAAACCACTGGAGATTGATCAGATGCGAATTGACCTAAGAGTTGCCGAGGAACATAGTACAAAAATACAAGAGGTGATTTTCAAATAATTTTGCAGCATCACTATTTCTCGTATTAACTGCTTCTCTGGGATGCTAATTTATTCTTCTATTCAGGCATTGAAATCACAACTGGAAGCAATTTCCTCGGAGCATTCCAGCACCATTGAAGAGGTAGAAAAACTTAGGATGGAATTAAGCATGCTCAGCAAAGAAAGAGAGAGTCTATTGGCCCGGATGAGGGACTTGGATTCACGACCAATCTCTAATCATGATCTTCAGGTTTTCGCTTGTTCTCCATTAAACACTTGATGTGCTATTCAAAGAGTGTGCATTAATGATATCTCCATGTATCTTGCTTATAATTTGACAATAACACGGTAATTGTTGCTTGGATGCAGAATTCAGAGCTTGAAGTGGAGCAGCTAAGGAATAAACTTGCCAGTCTAGAGGTCAAGATGCATTCTGTAAGCACATTGAAAACCTTTTTACTGACTTTTGAAGATATCTCTCTTTTGCAATCCTTTGCTTCTATTTATTTGTTCTGTACTATCACATGGAAGGTAGGTGTAGCCTTTAAATGGCATTAGTACTGCTGTACTGGTTTATGATTCCTATGCTGTTGATGACACCTTTCTTGTACTCTTAAACAGGATGAAGTCAACAACAATAAGGCGAGGGCTAAGCTTAGGATGAGACTTCATGGGACACACACAAAGCTAGAGGCATTCCGTGATAGATACAGAGAACTGGTGCATGAGATGGAGTTCATGAACCAAAAATTTGAGGCTGCTTCAAAAGAATTGAAGCAGCGATTAGCTTCGTGTGGTCATGAAATCCTAAACCTCAAGAAGCAGCTCGTTGCCCACAAAAGCAGCGGTTAGGACTTAGGAGACTAGGAGTAGATACATTGTAGAGTAAAAATTGAGTGAAGTATTTATAAATTGTACATATAGCTCTGCAACATTGTAATTTGGTTCTTGACAATGAAAATTGATTACAACATGGCCACCTAATAGTCTGAGGATTATTTCTGTTCTTCATTCATGTCCCATGCTCATACAGGTATCTTTCAGCAATGGCAGCATGAGTTGCTGCACCTACATGGAGGACATCTTCGTCAATCATGAAACGAGGTGAGTGGCCGGTGTGCACTGATCCCAACGTCTCGTTCATTATCCCGATGTAGAAGAAGGCTGCAGGTATGACTTCAGAGTAGAACGAGAAATCCTCTGCACCCATCATCGGTGGAACCACTCTGAAATTTGTTGGACCGACCAAATCCACAGCGACCTTCTTCACGTGTTCATACATCCTCTCCTCATTCACTGTTGGAGGATAAATTGTGTCCTTGTCCTCGAAGAACTCCACTGTCGCTGAACACCTGAACACGCTCGCTTGTTCTGTAAAGACCTGTTGCAGATGATGCAGGAGGTTTTTTTTCAAGTTGAGGTAAAATGTTAGTTCTTCCATGCATGATTTGAAACTCTATGACTAACCTCTCTTATTCTTTTCAGAAGCTGATAGAAACTGGAGTTGGAGAAAGCCCTGAAAGTGCCACAAAGAACAACAGTCTCGGGTATGGTATGGAGAGAATCCCCAGTATCAACTGAAGTCACTGAGACCACCTGGTAAAACAAGTTCACATGTTTCAATTTCATCAAAATGTATGACCTATTAGCACAAATTTTCAGTTAAGACGAAACACATCTTTTAATTTATCATGACCAGGTAGGTATACCGTAAACACAAACCTGAGCATCTAGCGGGTTGGCTTCACGTGAAACAATGCCTTGCAAGCTGATAACAGCAGCAGAGGCAGCAATCACAGGGTCAACACTGGCCAGGCCTTTTTTGCCCCCGGTGATCACAGCCCGAAAAAAGCCACAGCCAGCCAGTAAAGCTCCCGGTCTTGATCCAATCACACCAGTGGGGTGCTGATGAGAGACATGCACTGCAAATATGGCCTCTACTTTGTCAAGAGCTCCATCTTTGATCATCCTTTTTGCTCCATTCCCAGCCTCTTCTGCTGGCTGGAAAATCAGTACCACTGTACCCTGTTCACAGAAATGTCACCAGGTAATTTTAGGAATAGTAAAAACCTGAGCAGCTGTCATGCTTAATGTTATTAATGCAGTGTGACATTTTACTTTGACAAAAAGTATGTACTCAACTACCCATGTCCTTTTTACCCATGAATGGAATTCAATAAGGAAAATACAATGTGTAACACAAAATCTTGATGTAAACATTTGTTTGGGACCCACATAAAAAAAGTAGCTTATCAGTGCCCGTTACATCAGGTAGTGAAATTTAGGGAGTCCATGTAATAAAACTCATTCAATAAATTAATTGATGACCTGAGTTTTTCTGTCTTGTCGGATTATATCTTGGACCCCATAAAGAGATAAACTGAGTCATGAGTTTAACCTCCTGATTGTCTGTGGTAGGGGTCCGAACACTCACCCTATTGTTGGAAGCGAGTCTAAATTTAAACACTCCAATCACTAGACGAGTACCTTGGGGCATTAAATCAAAAGGGGAATGCTTGTGAGAAGGATTGTCGGGAGTGTTGCATAATGTAACAACGTTTGAAAGGTCTGTGTGGTGCTACTTGCACCTATAAAGATGTCCCTTTCTGTACTTGCCTTGTTAGGCTGAACATCTTGTTTGACTCAATTTTATTATCATCCAACAAAAAACAGTGGAAATGTGGATAAGAATTAACTATTAACGTAATGATGCAAAAAATGATTGAAAAGAAAGGGGTGTGCAAGTGTGCAACAATGTCATGTGACATTTGGGATCTAACAAAAAACTAAAAAAAATTGACAAAGAAACGTGGAAATGTGGAATGTCGCCATCCCACCCAACTAGAAATGTGTGGCACTTTTTCTCGGATCAACATTGTCCATACAATTAATTATATAATAAACCCTTATTGGGAGAGAGGATTTGCAAAGAATTAATGGTGCCACCAATCACCATCAACACTTGTAACCCACCACAATTTATATATTCACTGTTTAAGCCGGTTAATCAACGCTATTCCATTGACTTGGAAAAAAAAAAAAACTGATTCTTAATGATAAGATTTCCACTTCCGTGCAATAAATTTAAAAATGTGACACAATTCATAATAAAAAAAAGTTAATGTGTTACTTATCAAAGAAATTCTATTTTTTAAGAGAAAAATAAAAATTACGCTCAGTTGTATATATTCACGGAGAGGGTATGATGAAAAATTGGAAGAAAAAAAATGTAAAAATTAAAGCAAACGCAGCTTAATATCAAATGGTCGATAATAAAATGTATGGTGTATGGTAAAAGTAATTAAAGAAACAAATTTTTATTTGATAAATGGTAGGCTATAGGAAAGGAAAACTGCCCATTATTGTATCCTCTATTACTGTTAGGTGCATGTAAGTTGATTATGATTGGTGGGAGATTGTGAATTTCCATGGTATCTCTTGGAGTCTTGGCCATGGATTAACATTAAAACAATATAATAACATATCTTTAAAAGCTTTATATAAATTAATTACATGCTAAAATTTTTTACTATTTGAGGGTACACATTAGCCAATGAACTTGACTAAGTAAATTTTTAGATACAAAAATTATACTATATTACTACACCCACTCAACTATCTCTTTTTAAATTTCTTTACACAAAATAAATCCTACTCTCTATTTCGTCTAAGGGATTCCCTTATGTTTCTCCCCGGCGGGGTCAATTCCTTAGCGAGATATGTAATTTATAATTTATCGCTAAATTACACTCAAATTTCTTTTTTCTTTTTTATTTTTGTGTGTGTATGTGCGTACTATATATATATATTTCTAATTAGGTGAGAACTAACATTAACCTACGAACTGCGAACTTGTGAAGGATTGCACCGTAACTACTATACGATTGCACTGCTACGATTCCTAGACATGCTTGGAGTACCTTGCAGCGCAATTGTATCAGGGTGCAGTGTAATCATGTAGTAAGTGCAGTGCAATCCTTCACAAGTTTGTAGTTCGCAAGATAAGGTTGATTCTCACTTGATTTTATATATATGTATATATATATATAGACACACAGAGAGTAGAGCACTAGGGGTGGAAAATTTACCCCTTATCTAGATTTTGTCTCTATTAAGTGCAACTTCATAGACAAGAATGGATAGGATGGCTCCTACACAGAGCATCCTTGTAGGGACATAATTTTCGCAAGTAGATGTAAAGGGACGCGCCGCATGTTTCTTAATCACAAACCTTTCACCCTAAAACCTAAGCTCAAGTCATATTCAATTCTTAAATCCCTTTGCCTAAAGATTCTCACAAAATACCCAATAATAATAACAATAATAGATGTATAAAATCAACAGAATATGGATTATTCTAATAGCCTATATTCGTTTGGTATTGATACATTACATGCACGCTTACCAAAAAAACATAAAAAATTAAACAACGTAACAGAACAAACCTTAAGATAGTTTTGTCGGATCTTGAGGATTTTAGCGGCACCGAGGAGCATGGCGACATGAGCGTCGTGACCGCAGGCGTGCATCTTCCCTGCAACCCTACTCTTGTGCTCCCACTCTACAGCTTCCTAATATGGAACACTAACAGTGCATGAGCTGAGTGTCCAGAAATATATGGCTACAATAATTGCAATCTCTATTGAGTTTAAGGTTTAAGAAAAATTTCCAAGTAGTGTTTGCTAGTGCATGCATAAACACCTTGTTTCGATCTCTTGTCAAGTCTTTTCTCTTTCCATGTGCCACGTGACATCCGGGCCCACACATCACTATCCTGTGGGTCCCAGGGTTTAATTTAATTCATTAACATACATATATGTAGTTTTTTTAATAAAATATTTTCTCCTAATTTGCCACTTTTAACTAACGTTTTCTAGTTAATTACATTTAGGAGTTAACTAGCTAGCTCGTGAAGAATCTATTTGTATTTGTTAACCTCACTTGTTTGAGTAAAAACATTTCCTTGGACTATAAGCATACTTTATAAAAAAAATAAATTAAAATGTTATGAAAGAAAGGGTTTGCTGATATGGATCGAACGCAGTTCACACACTATGAAAGTTACTATGAAGTCAGATGGATTAAACCCTAACTGTGCCTGCATATGAAAAATTTATATATAGATCAAAGTTATGTAAAAGTTAAAGGGTTAAACTATATATTGACATGTTGTTGAGATTTGTGGTAGGTGTGTATAGGTGAAGAAGTATTAATGTAAAGGAAAGAATTAATATTAGAGTATCATTCACTCTTATCTTACTATATACTATAAAGTTCGAGTGGTAGAGTGGTAGGTAATGTTTACTTTGGACACAACATGTGTATACAAGATCGTGTTGCATGAAAATAGTGTTCATGCGCGGAATACTTACTTAACCTAAAACCATGCAGATAAATTTAAACCTAATATTTTATACTTTGATAGATTTGAAGCAATGAACCTGGATGGGAAGAGCATCCATGTCCGCCCGGAGGGCGACGAAAGGTGGGCCGCCGGTGCCGACGGTTGCTCGGATTCCGGTGACCGCCAAGGGGTACTCATATGGGATCCCCATCTTGTCCAGCTCCTCCCGGATAAGCCGGCTGGTCTCGTACTCCTCGAAAGCCAGCTCAGGGTTCCGGTGGATCTCCCTCCTCACCGCCGTTATCCACTCCAAGTTCTCTCTTTCTCCGGCGATCCTCAGGAGCTCGTCCGAGCATTTCCTGGTCCAAACCGCACAGCTCGACGCCGGCACTGATGACCCGCCACCCGATCCGCCGCTCAACTGCAGTGGTAAAGACTGATTCCTCATGTTCTCGGCGGCCTGCAGCTTGTTGAAGCCGGCGGGGGACGATTTGAAGTACGTGAAATCACGGTGGTCATCGGCGGCGGCGGTTGATGTGACGATCGGAAAATCAAGAAAGATGGAAAATATTAATAAACAAAACTGTAACTTCATCCCTATCGGTTTGACGAGTAGAGGAAGACAGTGGAGTATG